TCTCTCTCTCTCTCTCTCTCTCTCTCTCTCTCTCTCTCTCTCTCTCTCTCTCTCTCTCTCTCTCTCTCTCTCTCTCTCTCTCTCTCTCGGTTGTCATGTTCACTATACACAACTCAGAAGCAACTGCCAACGAAAAAGCATCGGACACTACCCAAGAACAAGATGGGAGAACTACGCCTAGACTGTTGAGTTCTAATCCCTGGTACACAACAGCCTGGTACAGCAACTGGTACATAGCACTGCTACAGAAAGCCTTGTCAAAAAAGCCTATCCTCCCGTACAGAAAGCCTAGTACGGAGAGCCTGGTATTGAGACTGGTACACACAGCCCTGGCAAAAAACAGAAAGCTAAGTTAAGACAGGCAGGTACACACACAGCCTGGCACAGCGACTGGTTCACAGCCCTGGCAAAAAACAGCCTGGTACAGCGACTGGTACACAGCACCGGTGCAGAAAGCCTAGTCAAACAAGCCTATCCTGCTAGAGGAGGAGGAGATCCTGTTTGATGCAAATTTGACATAACAAGCACTGGCTGCCAGTGCAACCTCATAAAAAGCTATGAAACATAGACCTGAAGAAATTGAAACACAAGTACAGAAAGTCTGGTGCAGAAAATTGTACAGACAGTGTGGACCTGAAGAAATTGAAGCACAAGTACAGAAAACCTGGTACAGAGCATGGTGCAGCGAATTGCACAGAGTGTGGACCTGAAGAAATTGAAACACAAGTACAGAGCGCCAGGTACAGAGTATGGTGCCGACAATTGTACAGAGTGTGGACCTAACGAAATTGAAACACAAGTACAGAAAGCCTGGTACAGAGCATGGTGCAGAGAATTGTGCAGACAGAAATTGAAGCACAAGTACACAAAACCTGGTACAGAGCATGGTGCAAAGAATTGTACAGAGTGTGGACCTGAAGAAATTGAAGCACAAGGACAGAAAACCTGGTACAGAGCATGGTGCAGAGTCTTGTACAGACAGTGTGGACCTGAAGAAATTGAAGCACAAGGACAGAAAGCCTGCTACGGAGTATGGTGCAGAGAATTGTGCACACAGTGTGCACCAAAGAAATCGAAGCACAAGTGCAGAAAGCCTGCTACGGAGTATGGTGCAGAGTCTTCTACAGACAGTGTGGACCGGAAGAAATTGAAAAAGTACAGAAAACCTGGTACAGAGCATGGTGCAGAGAACTGTACCGACAGTGTTGATCTGAAGAAACTGAAGCACAACTACAGAAAACCTGGTACAGAGCACGGTGCAGAGAATTGTACAGACAGTGTGGTACCGACAGCCTTTGACAGAGAGCCTGGAAGAAGCAGTCCGGTGTAGACACGTCACACAGGCAGCCTGGTACAGAGATTGGTACAAAACTTGAAGCAAACCTTTCATATACTGAGGTCGGACAAACGGCTCACAAGCAGCTCGGTTTCTGTTTCGCGCCGATGGCCTGGACCTAAACAGTGTAAACACCGCACACACATAAAGCAACGACCTATTCTGATCCCCAAGGGACCACCCTGGCACCTTTGCAATTGGCTCAATGATTGGTGTTCCGGCCTAGGCTAACAAGGACCCCTGGCCGAACACCCGTACGGGTTGCCTGCCTGTTCCCCTGCCAGGGGTACCCCATCCTGTAAGAACTCCAGTTCTTTTTTATTTTAATTTTAATTTTATTTTTATTTTTGTCGTCTCCGGAGCGGCTTTTCTGTGCCCACCGAAAGCAGAGCCCAAATGCCGGGCGTTTTGTTTCATTTTCAGGGTTGTCCATATGGGTGGGCGGGTTGGGGGAAAGGGGGGCCATAAATGGGGCTTCATGGGGGCTAAAGGGGTTTAAAGGGGGAGTGCCTTGGTTTGATTTTCTACTTTTGCTTTTTTTTTTTATCTTCAATTAGAGAGAGACTGTAAACAAGACGAGACAAGACATAAAGGCGAAGTACGACGTGTGTGGAGCACAAGCCGCATACGTAAAGAGAATTAAACAAGGACTTAAAAAGGCGACGTTGCAACCTATCACTCTCACAGCTAGGGGTGAAACCAAGATCAAGGAGTGGACAAGACAAGACAAGACAAGACAAGACAAGACAAGACAAGACAAGACAAGATAAGACAAGACATCAAGGCGAAGTACGGCGTGCGTGGAGCACAAGCCACATACGTAAAGAGAATTAAACTAGACTTAAAAAGGCAACATCGCAACCAATCACTCTCACAGCTAGGGGTGAAACCAAGATCAAGGAGTGGATTCAACCAACATACATGCAGAGTGTTGTTGACAGTACACCTGCAAAATCTGGAGATAGAACCTGCGGGATGGGCTCAGAGGTTTGAAGTCGGGACAGTTGCAATTAGAAAGGAGGTTCAACATTTAAGAGTACACAACAAGGGTTGCATACAACCAGAGAATAAGATTCCACGCAATAGATGTGTGTTGTTCAAAAAAAAAAAAAAACAAGATCACCAGAATAGAACACTTTCAACAAATGTAATAATAATAATAAGATAGCAGCTATATTACCTGGTATGAACAGGATCATGTAATTGCTTAAAACAACTCTACCAATAATACCACGCGGGCAAAATAAAGTACAAGGTTGCCCATCCAGCACGAGGACCATAGGCGCGGGAAGACTCAAGCAGAGCTGCAGGAACTACACAAGGCCTGCAGCAGAATCTGAATGAACTCCTGGTATCCATTCCAGCATCATGGACCGCTCTTCTCTCAGCCCCGCGCACATGGAGGGCAGGGGAATGGGAAAACACTTGGGATTGAGAGGCTCCTCCCACCGTCGCTTTGTCCTTCATCAAACAGGTGGGCCCTAGAACGGGACGGGGGCCTGATGGGCTTGCATGAGATAGAGGAAGCAGAGCAAACAGTAAGAGGACTCACCAAAACCAGCAGTGCGCAGGCATCAGTCGAACTCAGCCCTTTCAGAATCTTTGAACCGTTCATACAGCTGCAGGACTTAAGAGTTTGATCCGGCGGGATGGCACGGAAACTTCCAACAGCAGCAGGCTGGGTCGACCGACAAGTAAGTATCTTCAACTATACCACCCGACTGGGTTACAGGCTGCGTCCACGATCCGCAAATACCCGGAACACTTTGGTTCAACGCAGGGAGCGGCTCGTACCTGGGGGTCTACATGGGCTGGCCAAGATTCCCTGGGTCACGGCGTTAGGCGATCCACAGTACCATGGTCCGTAGCGTGCAATGGCTCCTAAATTACCAGGCACTCTCAGTCAATCAATGGCTGAGTAAGAGAAGAGCACAGGCCCACAGACAGGCGTGTTGTTCGATCTGCAACGGGGGAGTAACGGAGAAATATCGTCTATTGCATGCTGCAATGCCCGAAGGCCCAACAACTTTAGCACCGAGCAGGGGACCTCGGGAGGGGAATCACTGGTCAGGCACTGCCGGAGGACTGCCTCGCCCGACTCACGGGCCTCGTACACCCGCCAGGGCGGGCAAATTGGCTCTGGAAACTTTATAGAAGGCTCTGACGTGCCGGTGGAATAGGAACCGGACTGACGCTCCCCAGACTAGAAGGAGCCAGAACCACAAGGCCCTGTTTAAAAAAAAAAAAAAGAAGGCTGGGTTTTCTGGAAAAGACGGTGCAAGGAGACCATGACAAACAGGAAGTAGCTCCAGAGCAGGCCTGGGACAAGCTCAAACAGGCACTGGATGTCGAATATCAGGCGGACTGGCAGAGAACACGACCGCAAATCTTTTGTATTAACATAGACTCCTTAGGAAATGGGAAGCTGGGCACCCTAGAGGGGAACCTCCTCAAGTGTGTCTGGTGGGCAGGTGCAAGAACGGCACAGACCGCGAGCTCGCTTGAGGAGGCCCATTCCCAACACAGTGAAATGGCGGCTTGGGCGGCTAGTATAGCTTCGGATTGACTCTCAAGTAATCAATGGCAGCTTGGGCGGCAGCTTGGGAATTAATCAATCCCTTTGGGCTAACTTAGGCAGGGGGGAGGGGTGGCATATCCTTCCCTCGGGAAGTAATCAATGCCGCCGTCCACTCGGGCCTCTCAACCGTAACGGGGAGAGGCGTTGAAGAGTGTGTGAAACTTGTATTCTTGACTTGCCAGTGGAATAGGAACCAGTCTGATGCTCCCCGGAATGGATACGGAGCCAGAACCGTCAGTTTTTTTTTTTTGTTTGTTTTTTAAGCACAAGGCTGCCCACACCATCTGTGTGGTTAAGTGGGAGCGCCCACGGACCTGTGCACTTGCCGTGCGCTAGCACCCCAAGAGAAAATGTGTAGGTGCAAAGCCCCAACGTCTACATGCTCCTGGAAAAGCCGTCGTCCCTGACCAAGCGACAGCGATGGGCAGCCGTGTTTCCACTCCCAGTTCAGAAGTCGCGGACTAGAAGGAGAAGATTCCACTGGATTTTGGTGCAAGGAAGATAGATAAGGTGTAGTTTACAGCAGACGGCCAACATACACAAAGCCTCTTAAGACCTTTTGCGGTCGGAAATTGCACTGGTGGCAGTATTGCTCCAATTGAGCAGCATCCAGAACGCAGATACTGAGGCGATAATCGCAGGCGAAATGACTGTCTGAACCGACATGGTCCCGAACGCGAGGTATTCCAGAAGGAAATGCGCTTCCGCAATGACAAAGGACAGCATTGTCGCCAAGTAGATGGGGCGGCTATTGAGGTTGAGAGCACATATTACACACAAGCAAGCTGTTGTTGCCGTCCACGCAGAGAACTCCCTGCCGTGCAGAGGCGATAATTCCGTCTCCGAGTAAACGCCCACCTGCAACTTGGACAGATCAGTATAGCCCCAGATGAAGGCCGAAAGGCGCATCACAGCGACAATCAAAAGCCAAACACTTAGGATCTTCATCTTCTCGATCAGCGCTTTATCAGGACCTGATCCTGAGACGCGTATCTATCGCCAGCCAGCCAATCACGAGATACCCCCGCCCAGACGTAATCTTGCGAATGGGTCCCTCCCAGAGGGGTATGCAAGCAAATCCCCAGAGCCCCCTCCCTGCAGCAGCCAGACACAGAAGCAAAAGGGGAAGGAAAACAAGCAGAAATTTGAAACAACAGAGAGAAAGAAAACAATTTTCGGAACCTCACTACACCATCAAACAAACAAACCAGGCACAGAGCACACCTTGGCAGAAGCAGAAAATCTCAACAGAAAAGGCAGGCAGAGGTGAAACAACAGAGGAACGAAGACGCCTTTTGTACCTGCCACTCAACAGACACTATTCTCTATTCTGCATATTTTTTGCAAAATGCCGACAACCAAATGAGTCGGCACAGCACTTAAACAAACCACCAGTACACGGCCCCAGCAATGCGCATGGTCTGGCCCAGGTGTACTGCTGGTTTAAGAAGGAAAGTCACCTACCCTACCAGTGTACCATAGCAAGCCAAACCAGTCCTAGTCCTACTGGTAGTCTACGCAATAGCAGTACTAGGGGCAATTTTAGCACAAAGCCAGCAGAAGTTCACACAGCAGTCTCAGGTTCCGGCCAACTGAGCATAGCTCTATCCGACAAGAATAAATGTCGGCGAAGCATAAGATTCACACCGCAGGACTGCACTTCTGTTGCCAGAAGTGTTTAACAACGCAATTGTAACTTATTCACCGAAATGCGTCCTGGAGAATTCAAACCTTAGGCCGGCCCTTCTCTGCCCAACCCATCGTATAATTCGCCGCTGACCAACCACACTTCTTTGGAGCCATTTAGTACCGTTTTACTTGCTGAGGAATCTATAAATATATATGCATATAGTCAAACGGAACTACCTGGCGAACCATGGACAGAACGTAGCGAGTAGGACCAAAAGGGAGGCGCCCCGAAAAGGGAAGCACTCCGAAAAGGGAAGCACTCCGAAAAGGGAGGCGCTCCGAAAAGGGAAGCGCTCCGAAAGGGGAGGCGCTCCGAAAAGGGAGGCGCTCCGAAGGAGCTGCTTCAGGGCTTTCGCCAACTCCGTCTTCTCCCAAAACACAACGCACCCTCATCAAGACTGTACCAGAGCGGAAAGATGGCTTGTATACATTCATTATCAGGGTGGGGGGGGAAGGCGGTAATGATCACATCAACACCCCTTGCGGTATTCAAGACTGTTGAGGGAGAGGGCGCTGGGAGAGGGGTGGAAGGGCGGTGGTGGAAGGGCGGTGGGAGTGGGGTGGAAGCGGGGTGGGAGAAAGGGGGATGGATAAGACCAAAATTCATCAAATCGGTACCTCCCCCTGAACCTATTTGAACTCTTTTTGACCCCCCTCTTGAAACCCACCAAGCCCAAAACACACGGTTTGCGGAAATAAACTCGAATTTGGGTTCCGTTCGAAATGCACAAGGCCACCGCACCAATTGCGGCTCAGAAGATGTCTCCTTGCGGCCATCTAAGTTGTCGTTATTCGCAGGACGGTTGAACTAGGACCTGTCTGAGCTGAACTGCTAGACTGAGCAGCAGAACCCAGCACCCTGGTAACCCAGATTTGCTGGGTCTGCACTATGCAGTATATATTTAACTACCGTCTTCACCCGAGCACAATGCACCATCATTTTCGCTGCTCGTGACCGGAAGTATAGCTTGCCTACATTCATTATCAGGGTGCGTTATGTTCGGGGGAAGAGGGTACAGTCAAGAGTATGACGCGTACCCAGTAAAGCAAAGGAGCACGTAGTAGAGAATGGGGATGCAATGAATTGCAGTTGCTTGATCCCGCGACCTACGGTTTGTATGTGTTATTCACTAGTTACGTGGGCTGTACACTAAGTTTGTCTGCTGTTCCCTTGGTCTGAGACCTGCGGGACTTGATCCCGTGACCTACGGTTTGTATGTGTTACTCACTAGCTTTGAGTCCTACTGGACTTGACCCGTAAACCTGCCGCTAGTAGTCTCTATTTGGAACACTTCAGCCTTGCCGTTCTGTCCTTTTCTGGTCTTCTGGAAACTGGTAGGCCCGTAGGTCTCCCTTGTGTGTGTCTTAGTCTTGGATCCCCTTTAGTCTAGGTTCCCATCCAGATGCAGATAGGCAGATCTTGACTGTTTGGCCGTAGATGTGTGCTGTTTGGACGGTCAGATAGGTTTGTAGGTGACTGATGTGTTGAAGGTCTCGGGAGTCTGCGAGCGGGACTATTTCCAGCGCTCAGTCTTCTTCCTCTTCGAAGGGGAACTTGGGCAGCCATAGCTGGGGCGCCCTGCTGCTTGAGGAGGCAGCACCTGTAGGAGGTCTTCCAGGTGCTGATGCCACTGCCATGACGTTGCTGTTTGTGGGGTTGAAGAAAACTGCCGCTTTCCTCCTTGAGCGGCTTGCGTGCTGCTAGTTGCTGCCATACCAGGGCAGCCATCATCTTCTTCATCGAGGCTCACCTTCTTCTTCACAGTGGTTTGCGGCGCTGCGACTTGCTATCTGGCTCATGCCAGATCAGCCCCTGTACTCACAGACTCGGGGCATGATGAGATGCTGTTTTCAACAGTGTGGGCTATCATTGGAGGCTGGGGGTCGTAGGGAGAAGAGGAAGTTTCAGTGAAGCTTCGTTGAAAGTGCATTGTCGGGGGTTAATTGCAGGTGGAACAGATTTCGTGGTTGAGATTCTAGGAGTTGTTCGGTTGACAGGAGGAGAGAGCAGCGGGTATAATAAATAATTGATTGAAATTTGAAACTTTTTTTTTTCTCTCAATTAGAGTCAATTTGTACATCTGGCTTTGGCTTCCGCTGTGCAATCTCTCTCCATGGCTATGGTGTGTGAATCTGCTCTCTCCAGTCTGCCTGTCATTGCAGATGTGTATGGGAACAACATTTGAATGCGGGTTTGAGTTGCGAATCAATCGAATACATAACAGGGACACAGCGGCTTGGGATTTCATCATATGAGGAGCTGAAACACACTGCTTATCTGAGAAGAAATACACACAGCGGCTTGGGATTTCATCATATGAGGAGCTGAAACACATTGCTTATCTGAGAAGAAATACGCTGAAGAATACGTTGCAGAGTAGCTGCAGCATACGGCACTCAACGCAGCGTCAAAACTTTTTCATATAAAGAATGATCTTAAACCACCAGTACTTGCCCCAGCTATCGGCCACGGAAAAAAATAGAGTAGAAACGTTTCTAGTTGGATGAATTTGGGCGCTCCTGTAGTGTCCCGTACGTTTCCTGAAATCGTGGCGCTTAACGGGCACTGGTGGTTATTTACTTTTCTGCCAAAGTTCGATTTCTCAACCTGAAAAGAATAATGTCCAGTTCTTTTTTCTTTCCCTTTTTTTTTTAACAAGAACATAGCAACAAACACAATACCTGCAGAACAAACATTCCCAGACTAAACCACTGGCCACGACACCCTCCCCAGGTCGCAGCAGTATACCGGGAAGGGGAGGGGGACGAGAGGCGGCCGGGGGGGGGGGGAGGCGTGGATGTGCAGAAGGTGGATGGAACTTGGAGAGAGGCCTGGAGGATGCCTACGGTAGACCCAAGACAAAACTGTGGGGCACTAACCCCAACCACTGGATCGTGGGATGAGGCAGCGAAGAGCCTGTCACAAAACGAAACATAGGGGGGTCTTGCACCTGAGAGGCCCCGAGGTTTGGCAAATCAGGGGTTGATCAAAAGCCAGGTTTACCAAATGAGGTTCAGGCCCATAGCATCACACAATAGCATCACACAGACAAAGAAAAGAAGTGTACTGAGGGCATATACAAACACTAGGACCTTTTTTTACTTATTTATGGACGTAATTACAGTTAGATCCATCCAGGTCCGGCCGTAGATGCGGTCAGATACATATAAGATAGAGATAGTGTGAGTACGCCTTGACAGACACACACACACACACACACACACACACACACACACACACACACACACACAGAGGCAGACAGCCAAAGAGACACAGACAAAAAGGACGCCACAGAGCTTAAGACAAACAT